ATGTGCAAGCTGTAACACATGTCAATGCATTAAGTCTCAACATCACAAATAATATAATGAATTGGACATCATTTTATTGTCCACAAAACTTTTTGAGATCTTAATCATGAATTTTATCATGAAACTACTTCCATCTTCATGAAAAGATTAAATCTATAATGTCATCTTAATCATAATCAACATTCTCATCAAGTTCACAATTTACTTACTGTGCAGAAAAGACATCACCACAGAGCAACTTGCAGAATTGTGCTATAAGCACATTTTCATTATATATGAGATATCTTAACACATAATTTCTGACTGAGAATCACTGTTCACAAGTAAATACTAATCAACTCTATGCTTCTATTTCAGTATAAAACATAAGCTTAGTACTGCTTTCCACTCTCAAACAGATGAATAAACTGAGCATCAAAATCAAACTCTGAAGCAATACTTATACTGCTTTATAAATTTTCATCAAGACAACTGAACTCAATGACTTCTCATAATTCAACATGTCTACAATCAATCTCAGCATAGTTTCACAGACAAAGTACCAGCAGTAGTTCTGATGAAATATTAATCAGATCTTTCTATTAATGTCAGTCAAGTGTCAGAGCATTCAGTCATACACATTACAGAACATACAGAAATATTGACAGATATTTGCAGAGAGCTGAATGACAAACTTCAACAGGCACAAGACTTATAAAAAACATACTATGACATTAAGCATCTGCCACAAAGTTATAAGATGAGTGACTTAATCATGCTCAACATCAAGAATCTTAAAATGATCTGCTCTGTAAGAAAACTCAATCACAACTTTATTGACTCATTTGAAATCATTACAGTCTGAAGAAAGCAATTATATAAGCTTTAATTATTCTTAATCTACTGCAGCATTCATTCTGTCTTTTATATCTTTCTCTTGAAATCTTACATCAAACATGAGAGAGTGTCATCACCACCAGAGTCAGAACTGGTGAACAGAAAAGATGAATTTATAGTGAACAAAATACTCAACAAGCACATTTAACAAAAAAAAGTTGAATATCTAATTCAATGACTTGAATGAAGACCACAAGATGACACTTGGAAATCTGAAGAAAATGTTGCAGATACAAAGGTAATAGAAATATTTCTTAAAGAAAAGAAAATATAGAATGCAACAAGATCATCAGTCTTAAAGTGCAGCAAATGCTAAACATCTATCTTCAAAAACATAAGATGCTTTATCTTCATAATGAACTAAACATCAACAGACATCTCACACAGTTTAATGAAGCACTGGAAATAAAAAAGAGAGATGCAAACATTTTTTATTCAGACTTAAAGACTGCTGTCTACAGTGGGACTTAAAATCTTAAAGAGTACAAAATTAAAAGGAGATTGTTTAAAGATCACAATCTAAAGCAGATATTATGCTAC